TTTTTTTTGTGTTTACGCTTCGAAGAAAACACAATCTATCCTAGGGCGTGCCGAATTTGCAGTACTTATACCTGACAGGGAACAAATTCCCGTCATGGGCTCCCGAGATGTTCCGGTATATAACACAACTAAGGACGCTTGGTATTGGAGAGACTCCGATCTCAGTCATCCCTAATAACGCATTCATGGTGAGTTCGTTCTCAAAAGTGTAAAGGCCCTTGGGATCTGCTTCAAGCACTAACTGGACTGAAGGTCTCTTGACAGTTATCCCACAAATTCGAAATGTTTTGGAGTCCACTTGCCAGGTTTGAAGAAACCGCATTATCTCTTATAGCTTTTATAATCTGCACTTTTCCCTTATTTTCCTTATTTTCCCTATGATGCACAGGAGTCATGCTGCCTTGTACAATTTAAGCATCCGGATTTTCAAAAGTTCTGCTTTGTAGAGCTTCCAATTTAGAGCTAATTTTCTAGAATCTCCGAACAAATAGGACAAGGACACTGTCAACGAAAAAAACAAAATCGCTGATGAAAATTATCGTTTTTCATGACTTTGCGCATTGGTTCCAAAATATTTTCCGTTGAAAAAAAACTTTATTCTAAGACCTTCGGTACAACATAAGTACAAACTGTTTTTGACAGTGTTCACAGAAATAGAAAAAATACCTGAAGCCTACGAAGCGTCACATATATATTTATGATATAAGAAGTGATAGAATTTTCGGCTCTGAAAATCAAATAAAGTGCAGAAAAATCTTCCCACTCAAAGTAAATATTTGTACTCTCGACCTTCCAATTCATGTTCAACAGGACTAGAGCCTCTTTTTCAGCACATCCCGCATCTAATCCGGTTGGAAATGTCCGAGGCCGCTATCGATACGATTGAACGAGGGGCCTTCCAGCGGACTCCACAAATCCAAGCTATTGTGCTGAACAAGAATCGCCTCTCACAGTACGTCGTATTTCTCGGTCAATCGCTACAGTTCTTCCGTGGCTGTCTGTTTTGTTGTTTGTTGGTAGCCCTCACGCGAGAGCTATTTGCTCTGGCTATGCGATCGCTGTGAGGTGTGGTGGTCGAAGCCGCGCTACCGGCAAACAATCCGGACCAGTCGTTGTCCGCACGCGCGCCTACA